ACGCACTCCTATCAGCACTAAACGCGCCAATAGGAGATATCAAACTTGCAAATGGCAAATGGAGTCAATCTGTCTCGTTATTTTTACAGTGATCAATGGATTGACTGAGAAGATCTCTATAGGCAGCCCTGGCTGGCTTTGAACTTGTAGTGATCCTCCTGCCTCTACCTCCCCGGGGCTGTAATCACGGGTGTGTGCTACCCTACCTGGCTTCTTCCACTCTTTTCTGGGCTGGAGATATGGCTCAGCAGAAGAGCTGTGAAGAAAAGCAGAAGAGAAAAACGAGTCTCCCGGTGTTTGCAGGCACCGCTGCACAGTGTGCACGATGCCGGAAAGAAAGAAGAAAGAAAGGACAGCATATCCAAAGAAGACGGCGCTCCCGGCGTATCACCAAATGAGCTTACGATGCTCATGGCAAGTGCGTTTAACATCTCACTATGTTATCCAGATTTGTGAGACTGCGAATCTGGACTGAATTCTATTTAGCTGGTGTTAATTCTGTCTTTAAAACATATTAATCCAGGTGAAATGCCACAAGTTAGTTTTCTATTTAATGTGATCCAGAACTACTTCCTGGACGAATAAATTTTACACTGTTTACTTCATCACCTGAGAAAATGTCCAGAGTCTCAGAAGACAATAAGCATCACCATTACAAAAATAAAGAGTTTCAGATACATGCTATTCTGAGATTAGAGTTTAAGATTATTCAACGAGCTGCCAATGATTAAAACCAAAATGCCTCTATTGGATTTAAACAATAAAACCTCCAGTTGTTCTCAGACTCATGGAGGTTTTAAAGTTTTAGGAATGAGTATTGATTTTCTTTATCCACTAGTTTTCCTGGAGTGTTATGGATTCACAATCAATGGCCACGTAGAAAAATCTTAATGCACTGGAAGTGGGTGTTGAATGGGTCAGTGAGGTGCATGGTGGTGGTGGGTGTCCTCATTGCCCCATGTCTTCTCTTAGGTAGAGGGACTAAATACAGCAAGGCCATTGGTCTGCCTTGTTCTAAGCAATGTGGAATACCCCACCATGAGCAACGGACTCACCCCTTAATGCAAATGCAAACCACTTCAGGCTGGGGTTAGAGATCAGAGAGGGAGATCTTAGCATGTGCAAGGATGGGGAAGGGGAATCAAAGGCGGGGGGGGGGGGGGGGGNGGGAGAGAGGAGAGGAGCAGAGGGGATGGAGGGGAAGGAAGGGGAGAGGAGAGGAAGCTGGAGGAAGGGAGAAGGAGAGAGGACAGGGAGGATAGTAGCAGGGTTGGGTGTGAGGTGAGGAATTCTGTGTTTCTTACACTCTGCCAGCGGATGCTGATCTTGCTGGAAGGGCTGACTTTGGAATAGGAAAAAGCTGGCCCACTGGTCATAGTCTTTGTCTGGAAACCGAGATGGGTAATCCAGGAGTTGAAGCCCAGGTCGGATGTTACACAGTTATGCAAATAGAAAGCTAATTAACTAACTGAACGATTATCTACTTGCATAAGATTATAAATCTGGACCAGGTGATGTTATCAGGTCTCTTCAGTACCACAAGGTGTGAAGATTTTAAGATAACCCTTACTTTACTTGGAGCATTTTCTTTTATATTTCCCTTCATGCAGTGAAAATCAGTTATCACTCCAGAATCGCCCTGTGTAGCTGTAGTTACATTCTCTGAGTCAAGACATGATTATTTCTGTTTCATGTCCACTTATCTCTTCCTCCACAGTTCCTACAGCCTTTTCCGATCCGCGTGCTCCTGTAAGGGGCATTCTATGTGCAGTAGTCTGTGGGGTCATGTGATTCCCAGATGAAACATAGCTCCCACTAGTTCACATTCTTCTTAAATAGAGACGATCCTCCAACTAGAGCCATGCCCACCAAATGCAGTCTTGCCAATGGGTCAGGGGCTGGTAACAGTTTCGGACTGCAGTTACCGGGAGGAAAAAAAATCCCTTCCCTGCCCTGAATAGAATTTTAATCTAACGCCTATTCCTTATTCCCAGCACCAGTATCTTCATTAGAACTTCATTAGTTCGCCCGGACCACTCACTGTCTGCCAGCTGCTGCTGCATCCTCCAGGCTCCCCACCCCACACCACCCCAGCACAGCCCTGCCAGGGCAAAGCTCCTCATTTCAGAAAAGCACATGGCACATCCAGCTAAAAGCACGCACTGGCCCTTAGTCAACACCTTCGTGCCGTGAGATCAGCCTATCAGGTTTCTATGATTGCCACGTCTGTTTATGCATTTCTTCTGACTGGTCTACCTTTTTCTGTACAGTTCTGCTCCTCTTTTTAAAGTCTTGCTGTATATACTGATTTTTTTGAAGCATTCCTGATTCCCCTACTAAGATTCATCCACCTTGCTCTCAACATTTTACTCAGCACCTCCCATGTGTATGATGTCCACAAATGCTTTATTCTTGGCCCCTACTATATAATTCTTGAGGATTGATAATATGTCTTTTTTTTTAAGCTCTCACAATTTCTTTTTAAAATGAGAGTCTCCATATCTGTTGAAAAAACAAGTGGATAGCTTCAGGGTTAACCTGTAACTCAAGATGCTCAGAAACCTCAGAAATCTGAAATTATTTATTATTTTAAAATTATTCGATTACTTTCTGTGCACGGGTGTTTTGCCAGGACACATGTGCGTGTGCCACGTGTGTGCAGTGCCCACGGAAGTGAGAAGAGGGTATCAGGTCCAGATGGAGTTACAGATGGTTGAGTTGCCATACGGATGACAGGAGCCAAACCAGGGTTCTCTCTGCACAAGCAGTGAGAGCTCTTAGTCACTGAACCATGTCTCCAGCCCCTCACTACCTTCTTAATATTCATGATACTCTTTCAAGCCAAGAGTTCATCACCAGGAAAATCAAGGAGATGGGTTTTTAACCTCTAGTGTCTTGTGACACTTTTAAGGATTTCTTTCTTCAAATACATAGATATGCCCATAGCTCAATCTGCACTATTCAGATGGTGTAGGCTAAACTAAATGTAATTACCATTTTTCTGTTTATCCATCTATGTGTCTGATACTTTTGTAGCATATAACACAACCGTGTGACAGACAATGGTTCCATTCTGAGTTCCAGACATTCATCACAAAGCAAGAGTGTATCAACAAACTAAGAAGCCAGGTTTTGCAATGGCGATCTTTACATCCGTAGAAAAGCTTGCATGTGACTTTCCTTACTGACCCGCATTCACAGTAAAAATAAAGAAACTCATTGTATGCCTGGGGCTCCTGCAATGGGAGCTGAGATTGCAAAACAGCCAGCCAGTGTGTCTCACCTGATGGTAGAGATTGTCGCCCAAGATGCTCTGGGCCTTTGCGGGCTTTACCGTCTACCTTATGTTACGGTATTTATAATTCAACGTGCAAACAAAGTTCAGAACCAGGAGATCTAGTGCACCGGTCCCTGCCACATTATACAGGATGATACCGAGGAAGGGAAACACCCACTAATATTTCTTATTTTAATAGGTGCATATTTGCATTAGCATTCGCTAGAAGCCCTAGAATTAGCAAAGGACACTTGTTACTTTTCAGTCATTTTACCCTGAATCAACTTTCCTTCTCACACACAAAGTGAGGGGACTTAAAAAAGGACAAATATTAACTGCAGGGTGGGTGGAGCTGGCGACAATCACGATGGAGGCCGGGAGGACTGGGGTTGAGTTGAGTGACAGTGTTCTGGTTCAACTCCCGTCTGGAAGTATACTCCTTCAGTCCACCCTCCAGTCACGCTTCTGTGCTGCTGGGCTCTCCTGTGAGACGCCATAGTGACGAATGGCAACTTCTGCCAGACAACGGGAAGTATCCTGATCCTAAAGCAAGACTCCTACCTAAAGTAGTCAGGAAACGGGGGCACCTGGTGTGGACTTAATGCTGTGGTTAAAACCCTCTAGCAAGCCTCAGAAAGACGGGAGGTAACTTTGTGTTTAGTCAGGGTATTCTCTTAGGCAGTGGGGAGGCTGACCAGGTATGGCCTCTCTCACCAATATTGCAGCAAATGTGATAATTGAGCGAGCCACAGTCACACGTGTTACTGCTTTCCCGTTACAGCAGGCAGAGGGGTTAAGTCGGTCCCCCCCCCCCCCAACGTAAAGACAAATATCCCATGGAGAAGACAAATGAGCACCAGCCCTAGGTATGGACAGCTACATGAGCGGGTAGCTTTAAGATGACTTCAAAGAGCAGATCTTGTTCTCCAGTCTCACCCTGAGAACAGAAACTGTAATCGGTTACCCATTTCCCAGGGTAATCAATTTTGAATCCAAATTAGCCTTCTGTTCTTTTTACCAGGAGATCTTGTGTTAGTTCTCTTCCCAGTGACTGGAGAATCTAAGTTCCATAGAACTCAGCTATGTGCCAGAACCCTTCAATGCAGAAAATAGCCAGCAAGAAACACTTTCATGCCTTCTGTTTTCTGAAACGATAGTCAGAATCTGACCAAACCACTTTTCCCTGAACGGGAGTTCGCCATCCTTCTGTAGCAGGCCCCCTACCTCACGACGGGTGGTCTCCTGCAGGCTGTCAATCACAACTTCTGGACCCAGCCTACAAAGCCGCCCATAACCAGGTAGACCGAGGGAGAGGAACATTGGGTGATGTTAGCTCTGCGAGGATTTGAAGGAAGTACTTTGGAAATTAAGGACTTCCTTTTCTATTTGAAATACTTATTACATCTATGCAGTTCAATAACCAAAGGAACAAATGCCAATAAAGCCAATATAATCTACTTTTTTTTTTTTTTTTTTTGTGGAGACCATCTGCTTGCTATGAAAAGAAAGCAGGAAGGGAGGGGGAGGATGGAAGACAGGAAGTGACTGAGGAAGACAGAAAAACCCACTAGGGTGAGAAGCCTAAAAGACCAGGGTCACAGAGCATACAATACATTCATGAGCATGGAAATCAGCCCTCTGGAATACCGACTTCATTGTTGCCATTTCCAAAGCCTTTTGAAAGTTCCTAGCTTTTTACAGCCCTTGTTAAATATATCTACAGATATGTTACGTTTCCGGGCACCCGGTTACAGCGAGCATCTGGCAGTCTGTGAAAGGCTGTGTACACCGTGGACGGAACTGCTCCTGGCTCCTGGTCGTCACTGCTGACTCAGCCTCCGGCTAAGGATGGCGCTCAACCTCCTCCGGGTCTCAGTCACCGAAGATGCTCTGCCCCTGGGAGGATGTGACTGGGGAAGGGCGGGCAGTCCGGAGCTGCTGACCTTCTTGAGCTTATCTGGGCTTAGGGAAGCTGTGGGTTTTGGCAGTCTGTGCAGGCTGGGCGGGTTGGTGCCTCGTCCACAGTTCTGCCTCGCACTGCTTTGTTGGCGGTGATTGCTGACTGCTGTGGCAGGGTAGGTTAGGGTGCCCTTGTTGAGGGAACACCGTAAGCTTCCTCCACTCCTGAGCTCCAGGAGCTGTTCTCTGGCTTGACTCAAAGCCTCTGTCAGTTCAAAGCGTTCTTCACACTCTCTCCGCACCGTTTCCTGGAGAAAAGTGTTCTGAAAAGAGATGAGGAAAAAGCAGCCCTGGCTTTAAACAGTTTATGTAAGTGACGCGTTCCTGACAGTTTAAGTCAGACTGAGCTGAAGGCAGAGGCTGTGTTCTCTGTCTCTTTCCTACACTGCCACGCGTGACAGGGAAGGGAGGAAAGTGTGTGAGGCTGGACAGAAGGCTGACAGAATGTTTAGTTCAAGCCTTGCCATTTGTGAGTGAGGTGGGGGGACCCGTTCAGGGTTCTGTCGGTGGTATAGAAGGACCCACCAAGGCTGACGTCAGTGGGATTTCAACTTCCTTGCCTCATGTCTGATAGCCACTACATATTATCTGTAAAGTCTTCACATGTTACTCTATAATGAGAGCACAGCCCAATCCATGAGGCAAACTGGTAAAATCATGAGATTGAGAAGGATAACAATATAGCAACCACAGTGGTTAAATAGCAATACTAGTTATTTCTCAGATGCTTTCCATAGAACTTAAACATACGGATCATGCATCATTCTGTAGGATAATCTCCCCCAATAGAGAACACGGTCTTAATTCCAGCAGAAATCTCCCATTAGGTTGGTGTAAGCGGTGCTGGATAGCCTGCATTAGTTGGCATCACTGCGCTGTGAAGACTACCTGAGGTAATTAACTTTGTGTTGGGCCCTGGAGAGAATGGCAGCTCACAGTCAGGAAGGCCTGCCAGGACCCCGCACACCTCCAGTGATGCCCACAAGGCCAACATCCGAAAGGCCCCAACACTTCCCAACAGCACCATCTGGGGACTGATCCTTTAACATGGGGGCTGGGGAGATCCTCAGTGTCCAAACTACAGCACAGTCTCCTACTGAAGAGGCTTGCAGCCTCATGAGATTGGCCAGAACTGGATTCTGTGAATCTAACGGAAGAGCAGATGCTACGAGTGTTCAATAAGGATGGAATTTTGGATAGGATTGTCTGTAGAAAATGCAGTATCACATAGTAGGGATATATTGAGGCAAATATAAGCAATATGATTGGATTAGAGATTCTTCATTCTTTTAAGCTGAGGAATTCTCCATTTTCACATATGGAGTCCATCACAGTTCCCTCAAAAGCCATAGTAAACATTAGGTCTTGGATCTTCCCAGTGTCCAGATACCACAAAGTGTCATCCTCAGGCATAATATGGCCATTGTAATCAGAGCAGCTGTGGTCTCCCACACTGGACGCTAACACGGAGGGCTCCTGACATTTCTCCTGCTCACCCCACTCGCTGTAAATAATTCTGCTCTAGATGCCCATGGGCTCAGGAGGTGCTGGAGTATACCGTAGGGGAAGGTTAATTGAAGTGTGTGTGTATGTGTGTGTGTGTGTTTGTGATGCTTTTAGGAGGTCGTCACCCACACTGGAGTAGGACTTTATGGAGAGGCAGCTGTTTTGGGGTTACCTATGCTCCTGCTAATGACACCACACCCGTGTTCCTGTAAGTAAGCCCAATAGAACCATGGTTCAGCAAGCTGGGTTTGATCAGTCATTGGTGGCCTGTCTAAGGTGTATAGGTGTTTGTTCATGAAAAGGGTTGCTGCACCTGGCATTGCAGGCCAACGGATCTGTAAATGGGGAGAAGGCTAGGGAGATGGTTCAGTTACTATGTGGTTGTCAAGCAATTGTGAGGACTTGAACTCAGTTTTCCCCAACACCCATGGAAAAAGTCAGGGATGGCAAAGCATGTCTCGAATCCTAGTTCTGAGAAGGCAAAGACAGGAGGCTTGTTAGGAGTTTTGGGGCCAGCTGGTCTGCCTAAACTGGTGACATGCAGGTTCAGTGAGACATCCTGTCTCAGAAAGTAAGGGGTAGAGCGATGGAGGAAGACACCCAGCATTGACTACTGGACCAGATGACTTCCACGTGTGCATGTGCTTACACACACACACAGGATGAAAAGTCAGTCATTCAATGTTGTGTCTTAAAAACAGACACACTTGCAGTGATAGCGACCTAGGAATTATCAATCAGGTTAGCCTGTAGAAATAGCCAAGGCATTTCCAAGTCTGACTCTTAGTGGAAAACATCCTCCCTGTGGGTCTACTGACTAATCTGCCATCAGCAGAACTAAATAAGAACTCAGCAGGCTAAGCTGCATCTTCCTGTATTTGAGTTTCTCGTGATTATGGGCAGAACTTTACCGAGTTACAAATTTCGTAATTAAGATACAATTTGGGCTGAGTATGGGGGTGCATACCTCTAATCCAAGCACCAGGGAGGCAGAGGCAGGCAGACCTCTGTGAGTCTGAGGACAGCCACGAGTACATAGAGAGATCCTGTCTCAAAAAATCCTAAACCAACGACAACAAAAAGACTATGGAACAGTTCCAGATCAACGCAGTAACTTTTATTAAAGCCATTAGAATGCTGGGGTCAAAGGTCCTCATTTATAGTTATATTACACACATACGTGATCCCCACTCGTGTATATTAAGGTGTTGGTCAATTATTCGCTTCTGCTGGCTTTTGGTTTTTAGAGCAATTGGAAACTACTGGCATGTAGGCTTTGTCGTCTGGCCCTCATTAGCTCCACCTGAATACTGGTTAGAAGTCGGGGTCGGGAAATATTAAGCTGCTTACGAGGAAGATTAATAAGGTGCTGTATTAGGGCCATCACATTTCCTGCTCTTGATATATTTACCAAAAAATGTTTTTACAAAAGGACACAGGAGTGAAGGTTGGTTACATAACTCGCAGAGAACCACTCCGCCTTGGAGTGGTAGAGCCCAGCCACCTCCTAGCCCTGTGCCTGTGTCTGTGTGAGGAGTCTGTCTCATCATGGCAAGCGTACACATGCCATTTCATGTCTAGGATGTCAAGGTGCTGAAAACTGGGACATTTCCATCCGATTTTCTCAAGATTCTAAACTCTAATGCTCTAACCTTTCTTTCAGAAAGAAAGTGCATGGCATTATTTATCTACTTACAGTATTATCTAGATATACAGTGTTATCTATCCGCATCACTTACCTATATATACAGTAAGCTGGCAAACGTGTAGAAGTAACCAAATTTAAGTGGGTTTCAATGAACTAGTATAAAATACTCCTGCTTAAGAAAACCATAAGAGTCAGTTTTTTTTGAAGCATGGAAAACTAAGGATAGCCACGAGCACCGAGGCAAGCAAGCCAGCAGCACAAAGGGCAGGCATAACCACATGAAAAGATGAAGCAACGCGTTGATGAGCGGAGATCACGCTAAAGAGAAATAAAACTCAACCGATCCACTGAACATGACTCTGAGCCTCTAAGAAAGTCACACTCTACAGAAGACACATCCAGGGCAAGTCCCTTCAAAACTGGCTTCAGGCAAGTGGCTTCAGGGAAGGAAAGGGTACCAAGAGCAGGTGCACGTGGAGTGTGGTGCCAGCAGGCTCCAGGCTGTGCCCTCCAGCCAGGGAGGGCTGAACCAGCCGTTGGGTTCTCAGACTGCACCCTCCAACTCCTGCTGGACACACTCCAGCCGAGAGGACGATCAGGGGTGGGGGCAGGGAGAGGCCAGCCCTCGGCAACTCGTCCTGCAAGGTTATTTAGCCTTCAGAACAAAGGATTAATTCTCTTCCTATTATTTCCCAAGCCAGGAGGACCTCTGAATTGCAAACAGGATCCACAGTTGGGAATTTCATCTGGGCCAAAACCACTGTGGTTTTGCGGATATTCTTAAGCGGATATCCTTAACACCTTCGCTTTCTCTGCTGCCGTCACAACTACTCCCCCTAAGCTGACACTACAACTCAGCTTTGTCCACAGGTAGCTTAGGTGTGATAATTTACGCAGTCATGGTGTACAATAAGGAAACCGACATTAGGAAGTTGCTATTTCAGGAGTGGGGTGGACCAGTACGATGACGGACCTGTGGATGTAGTCAGTCAGTAGCCATTAGCGGAAAATTCCATCATATGTGAAAAGAAGCCCGACCTCTGATTGGCTATATTGTTTTCAGCAATTAGGCAAGAAGTCTGGGCTGTGCAGACTCTTTTTATTTGCTTGCTTTGTTTTGGGGATAGGGTCTCACTATGCATTTCTAGCTGGCCTGGAACTCGCTGTGTAGACCAGGCTTGCCTATGTCTCGCAGAGATCCTCCTGCCTCTGCCTCCCGAGTGCTGGGACTAAAACGGTGTGCGCTAGTATGCCTGGCTGTAGCAGACTTTTAATATTCATTTTTACTGAGGGACACGAAAAAATGCAGAAGATAGAATATGCTTCATGGGGCTGAAAATTACAAGTAAACACGAAAACAATCAATGAAGCCAGCATCCTCTACCTGTCCTAGACGGGATTATCTTGGGCCACACTTTACCATCACATGGTAAAGGAATATCACGTGGCACCAAGTAAAAGAAGGGAAAAGGGGGTTTCCAAGCAGAGGCAGCAGCAGGAGAGACACAGCCAGGCATGGAACACGGCTGCTGGAAGCCACAGCTTGTAAACACAGAAGAGCCCAGCACTGAGGGAGGAGGAGGCGAGCAAGTCAGATGATGAGAACTTTGGCAGCGAGTTATCACTGGAGCCTTTCCTTGGCTCCGAGAGGGCCAGCTGGTTCATGGGAAGAGCTTTCAAGCAGGGCACTGGCACAACCACGCTGGCATGAAAGGAAGCTCTCTCTGCCAGCTTTGTGAACGACATCGTGCGGGGAGGTGGGGGACAGAGCTGGAGACAGAGAACGGCAGGGGCTCAAAGTTTTCACGGAGGGTTAGTGTGGCCTAAGGAGAGAGGAATTACTGTGCCACCCGTTGGTGCTGGGCACTGTCTACAGCCACCTCAAAACTCTCAGATAAAGGTTGCTTCAATTGGACTTAAAATAATCGATTGCTTAATTGTACTCCCACGGAGCAGGCTAGTATAAAGTTGAAAAATGTAAATTAGCTCCCCTCTACTTAACTTTCTAGTATTAGAAGTGGCCGGTTCCCCACTGTTTGAGAACGTGAGACTGGCTGGTTTTTATACTTATTTCATTCTTTTTTTAAACGCCTAGAGACAACTGAGTGTTTTCAGTTCCAAACACAGAGAAGAAGCAAGGGAAGGCTTGGCCAAGTGATTTGATCACTCTGAAGGGGAGAGCTCCATTTGCGGGGTTTCAGAATCAGCTGTCTTTGGCATAACTGGGGGTGGGGGGACGGGCACTGCCAGGAAAGAGGTCTTCACTGAAGAATAAGCACAGATGGCCTTGTTCGTGTTTTACACTAACGAGACCCTGACCAGTCACGGAATGACAGATGACACAGTTTCTACCAACTCTAACCAGACAGAACCCAGGACAGCGGGTGGCCAGCCAGCTGAGGGGAGCAGGCACCTGAGGCAAGGAGAAGTTCAGTGAGGAAAGGTGTGGGTACCAGTTAGCAAAGATGCGCGCAGCCGCCGTGCAGCTGTCTGTTCAAGCACAAACACTGCAGAAAGACAAAAAATGGCTTTTTGGTGAAATAGGAATGAGAAACTAAGTAAAATTTTAGGAACGAAGATGGATTTTAGGTTGACTGCATTAAAATTATATACTCATGCTTCCAAACACAATAAAACCAACTATCGTAGGTTTATCAGTAGAAAAGCTTCAGAAATGACAAAACCTCTCAGAATAATGGTCTTCAAGAACCAGGTGTTCAAGAGGAGGGAGAAGAGGGGAAAGACACGCGGTATTCAGGATTTTCTCCTCTAAGTCGTCAATCAGACTCTGATATCTTGTCACCGCTAATGACGTACAACAAAACAGCACCTCCATGTTTCTCCGGATGTCACTCTCCTGACGGCCTTTCCCTCGCCACAGGCAGAGATACCCAAGTCTACCCGTGCTCCTTGACCAGATCCTTGGGTTCTCAATCCAGCTGTCCCTGCTTTCTGCCAGCCGACCCTAAGCATGACCTTTAAGAGCTCTTACCCTTTGAAAGAGAAAACTGATGCTGTAGTATGATGTGTCCTTTAGACTTGCGTTTCCCCTGCCTCTGCTTCCCAAGAGCTAGGATTAAAGGTGTGCACCACCACACCTGGCCTATTTTTGAATATTTTTTAACTACCATTAGATGGGCTACAAGAACTACAGAATTTGAAAGTTCTGCCCCTCTTCTTCTCTTGTTTATGGTCTTAAACAAAAAAGACTGAGCTCTGTTTTCCTGTGGATCTGCTTCTTAAAAATTATACTCTTCCTCTTGACTACAAGACCATAACGAGGCCCTTACACTGGGCCACACTGTCTTGACAGAATTCCTGTGGAATGCATAGGAGGGGACCACTGGTACCACAAATACATGACCTATTTTACTTTGGCTTTAATAACAATATGCTACTCGCTCACATCGTCTACCCGCTCTCTCGTTTGCTTCCGATGTTCCAGCTTTTTAGTGTGTGTCTTCTCCCCCAATAAGAATGTTTTGGAATCTTGTTCAAATTTGCATTGCCAGTAGCTTTGTTTTTTCCACTCCCTGTCGGGGAGAGGGGGTTACCCACCTCCTCCCAGTCCTGCTTACGGCATTGTTGTCGCTGTGAAAGGCCACTCTGCCTTTCAGAGGCCTCAGCCTCCTTCTTACCCTTTCTATAGTTAAAAACAAATTCCACTCTCTCCTTGTCCTCTCGAAAGGGAACAGGGCTTTCCTCCCCTTAATTAGCTTCCTTAGGAGAACACTAATTTATCTCCATCCTAATGGGAGCTTTCCTCCACGTAATCACAGCTTAAAATTCTCCAGACTCCGAGGAACTTAAAGTGTTTACAGAACATGGCTAGAAACACACAGGACTCTTCGTCTTTTATGACTTTCTTTACAGCCCACATTCTTCCCGCTCGCCAATCCTATCGCTTCCATTGGCTCATTCCCATTTTATAAGTATATTCTGGACATTGGCATGTTTAGTGGGAGAACGGCCTTGGTAGTTATTTACGCAGATTCCAGCTCTCACTATTTAACCTGAGGTGATATTTTGGTAACTTCTGATGGAAAAACCTAGTCTACTTGCTCCCCCCCCCCCCGTCCCCATGAGAGGTATTTCCTACACACACAAAATTTTCACTAACTTTATTTTATGAACTACACTTTCTCCCCTCTAGTAATGGTTCATTACTATTTACATACTAACCTAATATCTATCTTTCAGAAGCCCATATTTTGTTTCATTTTTAACTATTTTATTTTAGGTGTATATGTGTGTACTTGAATGTACATTTGTGCACCATATGTGTATAGGAGTCCTCGGAAGTCGAAAGAGGTATCAGATCCTCTGGAACTAGAGTTATAGACAGTTGTGAGCTGTCATCTGGGTTTTGGGAACTGACCCAGGTCATCTGGAAGAACAATTGCTCTTCACTGCTGAGCCATCTCTCTAGTCCCAGAAGGTCATATTGTAAAAAAAAAAAATGAAACGTCTTAAAAATGCCTTTCATTCGCAACTAGGAGCAAGATGTGATGAGTTCTCCTCAGCTCTCGATCTATAAAGAGATCCACTCCCCACTTGTAGTTTTGCTAACATCACCTCTAGAGGGTGTGGTTAGAAGACATAAGTGTAGACTCATACAATGGAATACTTGGTTTCTAGTGGGTGGAACTGATTGAGAAGGATTAGGGAGGTGTGGCTTAGTTGGAGAAGGTGTGTCACTCACTGGGGGCAGGCTTTGAGGTTTCAAAAGACTGGCCCCATTCCCAATATCTCTTTTTGCCTCCTGCTTGTGGATCAAGATCTGAGCCCTCAGCTGCTGCTCCATGCATCTACCTCCATGTCCTTGCTCCACCACCATAAACTCTAACCCTCTGGAAGTGTAAGACCAACTAAACTTTTTATTTTATAAACTGCCTTGGTCCTGGTGTTTTAATACGGCAATAGAGAAATAACAAATACAGAAGCTTTTGATGGTCCTAGGGCCCCATCCTCCTAATAGTTACATCTTAGGTACTTACCTACCTTGCATGTAGGATTGGACTTACTGACTCATTTGGAATGAACAGAATGTAAAAAAAAGCTATGGACAACTGTGGGATGCCACTTCTGGGTTACCTAAGGACTGTGGCCTCTGTCTTAGCTTCTGTCTTGGCACCCACTCTCTACTTGCCCTGGGGGAAGTCAGCAGACACTGTGAATTCTTTTCTGAAGAGGCCCATGTGTCATGGAATTGAGGTACACCTCTGGCCAACAGCCACAGGCTCTCTATTAACAGCCCATGAGAGTATTAGCCTGCTAATATAACTTTGCTCATTGGAGCAAGCTAGAAGCCCAGCCTCTCTCAGTAGAGCCTCTGGCTGAAACTGTTGCCTCATGGATACCCTCACACCAGCTCTTCCAGACCTTCAACCACAGACCTTCAACCACAGACACCCAGCTAAACTACAGCAGCTTCCTGATCCACAGAAATAAGATGTTGAGGGGGGGTGTCTCAATGGTGAGGGGGTACTTTTTGTACAACCGTGAGGGCTAAGCCTGAGGTTGTCCTGGAATCCACAAGCAGAATCACTCCTGGAAGAGTGGTTCTTCCTGGGAAAGGAACTTTTGTGCCACAGAGATCCAGACTTAAATCTCGGCTCCCTCGCTGTGTGAGCCTGTGGAAACCACCCAGGCTTGTGGGCTCCTCACTGGTGACGTACAAATAATGGCTACTTTATAGTGGGTGGCACTCTCATGGAATAGTTTATCCAATCCTTAGTTCAGCCTTGTGATTCTTTATGATAGGCTCATTTCATATCTATTTTTTCATATTTATAAGGATGGCAGAAGCTTTCCATTTTGGTTAGCAATTTAAAACTAGCAAGAAAATGGTGTTTATTGTTAACATTTCATATTATCACTAGCACTTTCCATTCACGTCTTTATTAAGATGCCAACAGGGCCAACAAAACTCTTCCTTCTCGCTAGCATTCAAAACTGTCCATTTGCCTTTATATGCTATATCGTCATAAGTGGGATCAAATATTAAAATTAATTGCTACACTATTTCTAAATTGTTTAGTAGTTCATAAATAAGCAAGAGAGAAAAGTTCTCAATAACAACGAGTCTACTTCAGTTGTAAAACACTGCTGAAATAGCTCCGCACACGTAAGACAGAAGACTCAAGCAAGGAAGCTGCATTGGAAGGGCGGGCTGGCAGAGCTGTAAGCCATGAAAGTCAAATTATCTCTACAGCGTCTGGATTTCCTTTTTAGCATAAGCAGCATGCGCTCGGGAAATTACTTGGACAAGATTTAATGTTAAAGCAAGTGAGATGTAATCTGTAAAGATTTCTAGCCTTGGAGCTTTTAGGTGATCATTGGCAACACAGAACTGATTCACAGAAAGGGCTCAAGCCATAACGGGACAGCTGTGTCACACCCTGCCCCCATGGCTCGCAGAACCTGGCGGAAGAGGGAGTGGAGTCTAAGAAGCAGGACTGAGGTTTCTCGCTAATGTGACAAGACCCTTGTACTTATGGACTCAGAGGACAAAGCTGCCTGAACAAGACTCCCATGGGATCAAGACAGTCAGCACTCCAGTATGGAGGGGGGAGGGGCTGGTGAGCCTCCCACCCCTGGCTGAGAAGCAATGCTGACCACTGATGGCTGCTAGGGGAAAGAGAGCCAGTTTTCTCTAGGGGTGTGGCTTCGGGTAGATGGGCTGTGTCCCAGTGATGGCTGCACACCCATGGGCAGAACTAACTGATCTGTTATTAAAACAAACAAACAAACAAACATCAAGTTGGGAAGAGGACATGGGGGGGGTCAATGAGTGGAAAGAAGGGGAGGGATGGATGTGTATGACTACGACTAACAAATACGTTGTATGCATGCATAATTTTCTCAAAGAGTAAAGGATGCTTAAACATAAGAGAACTATCCCACAGAGGCTAAGGGATGCCATGGAGCCAGCGTGTGACTCTTTCCTTGGCGTCAAGCTGCCTGTCTCACGTGTGACTGTTGGTCTGCTTTCTAAAGGGCCGTGCTCTTGGCTGCGGGGTCACCTGCTTCCTACCTCTTCCTGGGACTGGCTGAACTGCTGCAGCAGCTGCGTTTGGGCCAGCATTACTCTTTCCAGCTCGTCTGACTTCTGTTTCATTTCCTTCTTCAAGTCTTCTGAAACTGAGTCATCGCGGCTGGCTTCCTGCTTCAAGCGACACTCGAATTCTGCAACCAGACTCTTCAGGTCTTCGATCTCTTTCCTCTTGGACTCGGATTCCTCAGTATATCGTGTGTGGGATTCGTGGAGCTTTTCTTGGAGAGAGGCCACTTCGAGCTGCAGGTCTTTTGTAGCGCCTGCGATTAAGTCAGCTATCTGTAAGATAAATGGCACATGAGTTTACAGGCAACTGTTTCCAGGGAACAGCAGAACTCTTGCTGTTGCTGCAAAGTTTCTTCTGATAAACCAGGGTGCTTTTCTACCTTTACGATAAAAGCAAATCCTATGACATAGAGGCCTTCAGATATTTTTAAAGTCAACACAGATTTTTATTTATTTTTTTCTAAAATGGTATCCCATTGACTACTTGGGCACCCTTGGAAATACTTAAACCTCCGTGATTGTATCGAGCTGCGAAAGGTACTCATTTTCCGCAAACAGATGGGAGAGGGCTTGGCTGGATGCGGGGGCCTCCAAGTGCCCGCCTGATGTTTGGAGACACAGTGAGAGAGGCACAGCTGTACTCCTCTGGGGTCAAAACAGCAAGTTTGCCTTTGACGTACTTTTTTCCCCTATATATTGGTGTACCTCAAACACTAGCTCTGTCTTCTACAGCGGCACCCCACCCCATCCCCACTTCTCGTGATCACAGATATTCCGGATTGTTCTATAGTGGGGTAACAGCAAATGTTTTCTAAACATCCCCCTGGGTTAGATCTGCATCTAATTTCAGTGGTGAAATCCCTTTGCCGCTGCTGCTAATTTGCCGCCAGTGGAGACCGAGCAGGGACGAGAGACGCTTAGCAGGCTCTGGAGAGTCAGGCCTGGCTACAGAGCACTGGGAAGACAACCAGAATGACTGAAGAAGTAAGTGTTAAATCTGAGCGACTTGAACTGAAGAAGTAGCCACTAAGCCGGTCATTACGGCGATCCGGGGAACAGCAGGACAGCGCATCAATGTGCTGCCCCTCACACAAGAGCACTAGACAACCCAGGGAACCTTCTGCCCATAGCACACAGTCTGCAGAAGGGAAGAGACTTCTCTTCCTTCTTGAAAGACAAAACAGTGAGCTTGGTGGCTCACTCCTAAATTCTAGCCAAGGCAAGAGAATCACTGGGACTCTGTGGCCAGCTGGAGCTTCATGGTAAGTGCCAGAACAGAGTGAGTTACTGTCTTAAAATACCAAAACCAACCACACAAAACCCCCCAAACAACAGCAAGCAAACAACAGAAGAGCAGGCATGCCAACCATGTCGTAAGTCCTCTACTTATGGTCCAGTAGGAAACCAGCCACGGGGACTCTGGCAACACCACAGACGTGAGTTTCCAGAGCTCTGGGGACCACTGCTGAAGAACGGTATGCATGAAAAATTAGTTTCAAATGTCCAATTTACATAAGGAATAACTGCTGGAAGAAATCTCTCACCACCATGAGTCACTTCAGGAATTAATATTCTACTATTTTTCAATTAATTCAGAAGAAGGAAAGGGGTTACCGTTAGGTCTGAACAGTGGTCCCTCCCTCCGGGCAGAGATGACAAAGAACAGCAAGCTATCCTTTGACAGGGGTTTTCAGAGACACAAATAGGTCTGGATTTAAAAAAGGGGGTGGGGTCAACATTTCAAAATCAGATTTCTCTGATAACATTTGAATTTAGACTTCTCTTAAGTAACGGTGCCATTTTGTTTGCATCCCTCTGCCCATGGGACCCCAAGCTACTCAGGACGACTGCAGGCATGAGGTGAAGGGAGGAAGGAGATGGCACTCTGTGGAGCCCTTGATGCAGGAGCTATGCAGCAAGATGTGTAGACCTGGCTAGGACAGGCTACATCATCAGCGGAGTGGAGGCACCAAGCTCCCGGCACATGCATCATGGTTTTAATAGGAATTCATTTAAAAAAAAATCAGATTCAAAGATGAAATCCTCAAGAATTTCAAGCCAGAAGCATCTGCAGGGCATTCTGAGCAGGGCCAGGCACTACTGTGGCGTGTTCTCTCGTAGCTGGCCCTCCTGTCCTCTGTGAACCCCACAATGGCTCCACATCTGTCTTCACACAAACACAGAGCCTCTTAGGCTGTTGGTGCTTACTTAACATGAATTCTTTAAAAAAAATTTTCTTCGATTTATTTATGTTTATGAGTGTTTGTCTTGCATGTATGTCTGTGTGCCATGTGCATACTAAGGCCAGAAGAGAGGGTTGGAGCCTTGGGAAGGGGAGTTACGGGAGGGTGTGAGCCGTCACACAGGTGCTTGGATTTGGATGGGAGTCACCTGCAACCAATGCTCTTAATGCACAGCTTTTTCTCTAGCCCCTGACTTGGATTTAAAAAACAAATTCAAAATTATATTTTAGAAACATTTATCTATTTGTGTGTGTGTGTGTGTGTGTGTGTGTGTGCACATGTGTGTAAGAGGAGATCATGCCGGAGCTGGTTCCCCACTTCCACCACGTGGGTCCCGGGGATTGAATTCATTTTTTTTAGGCATGGTCCTGCTGAGTCATCTAGGACCTCTAGTATGGATTCTTAACAAGCCTTTTCAGTTTCACACTGACTTTTGATTCACTCTCTTGCCATCTGCCTCTCTCTCCCTCTTTTTCTCCCCTCCTTTTCTTTCCTTCCTTCACTTAAGTCCTACAAATGCAAGAACAACTTGCCCAACTTGGTGGTATACGTCTGTAATCCCAACCCTTGGGAGGCTGAGGCAGGAGGATGTCTCCTAATTAAGTAAAATCAACAACTAACAGACAAAGGGCACTTCAACAGACTCATTACTTTTATAGTATTTTTCCTCATCCAAAAATGGATTAATAAAATCAATAAATTTTTATTAATTAATAAATTAAATATCAATAAAATGTAACAGTTACTTAATTTATAATTAATTAATATTAAAACATCTCTATTAATAAATGAAATTAAAAATACCTCTAGTTAAGAAGACTAAATTCTAGGAAGGACATTTTTAATTGTGTAAAATGCTTTATTATCTTTACTATTAGACCAGGAGTCAAGCTAGTCATTAGTTATGAGGTGTTGTCAGTAGAAAGCAAATGCATTCGGAGCTTGGCCAAGTGCTTTTGTAATTTGCCTCCAGTATCTTTTCTGAACCACTGTCTGTGTGGGCAGAACGAAGATACGGTAACCATGATCGCACTATCAAGCTAGAGAAAGGAAGGCACGCCTGAGAACACGAGGTTCTGTCGCCGGACTGCGGCACAGACAGTGGTGAACAGACCTTCTTCTGCAGGTCCTCCTGTTCTTGCTGATACTTCTGAATTACTTCCTGGTGCTTTTCTTTCTCAATGTCAAGTTCCAGTCTAGCTTCTTCCTTAAAGAGAAGAGCTTGCTCTTGGAACTCAATGAGATGCCGGGCTCTTTCTTTGGTGAGCTCAGCTTCAATCTGGAAAACAGTTTTCAATATTAAAACACACAAAGCCACTTTACCTTGGAACAAGCACGTTCAATACATTTTCAGACTGTAATTTTTAAAAGAGCCAAACAGCAAGTTTGTAATTATAGTAGTCTAATGTTTCTAGTATTAAAAATGCTAGCATAGAAGTTAGCCCCTCAAAGTTGACCTTGGGCCAAATATTCTAGTAACGAAAACCTGGAAATTTAGTAGAGGCGACACTTTTTAGAACTACAAAAAGTGGAGTCACGTATTCCACTTAGGATGATTAAGAGCTTAATCATTGACACTGCCAGCTCCATCCTCATCAGGAGGCGTGGGAAAACAAACCAAAGCAAAGCAAATGCCCTCTATCCCCATACTGAGGTTGGACTACGTTCAGCTGAAAGAGGAGCAAATGCTGATGTCTCAGTGGAAGGTTGCAGGGGGGTATGGCGTCATAGACTGTGATTTTAGTGTGACAGAGGCCAGAGGAATGCGAAGGAGACAGACACTCATGTCCCCATCCACATGTAGGCTCAGACAGAATCGCAATGCAGGGAGGGACCTTAGAAACCCCTGGTTCAGTCTCTCATGCTTCGGTGGAAAACACACATAAGGACTTTGGTTTGAGATGGAACTGAGGCTCAGTCCTGACTCTGACACTTGCTAGCTGTGTGATCTTACTTTTGTGAGTATACCTCTCCTGGTGGAGCTATAACTAGTTCCTGTGGGAGCCTTTGTGGGGATTAAGTGAGGCAAAGCATCTGTGGAAGCTTGCAGCACGGGCAAGAATTCAACAGGCAATGCGGGTTGCCTCCACGTGCCAGGGCTGCTGTCTACCACGGAACTGATCTCGAAGGACGTTCCGCGGTGCCTCACGCCTCACAAAACCATAACTCACTCCGTCCCCGGCAGGAGTTTCCATTTCAGACATCACTAAGCAAGTATTCAGCAGTTTTTCCTGTAGTTGAGCCAGCGTCTTCTTCAATGTGGCTTTTAACTACTGGCTTTGGCTTTGCCTACTAGATAGAGCAAGGGGGGAGACACCTGTGAGTAAAAGCTCCCCACTGCAGACTTCATCTCCTGAGATCAGAGATGAGATCCGAGTGGCAGACCAGCTCCGGGTACGCACTGTGTCGTTCTATGGGGTGTGGTGAATGCCTGGATCCCCGGGAAGAGACGGCCAAGCCTGATTGCTTCTGACTGTTTGATTCTGGACATTAAGAGAAAAGACGAGGTCTGTATTAATTTCTCAAGGGATCCAGGACACAGAAAGTCTGTAAAGTGAATTAAGAGACTAGCCCCAGGGTCAGCAGGACTTACTGCCCGGAGGACAGGATTGCTCAATGGCAAAGTGTAGACAAAACAAGAGGAGATATTCCGGCTCTCTCAAAACACGAGGAGATATTCCGGCTCTCTCAAAATACATTCCTACATTGTTTGGGGAAGGGTGACTGGTGGGTGACCTTGAAGGGACATCACAGGACTGTTCAGAGGGGAAAGAACACTTCTCTGAAGATCAGACGCCTGTGACCACCTGCCTCTAGGTAGACAACTCACAGATGCCCTGCACGTTCACGAGTCTGGACAACACCCCGAAGTCTATTTCTCCCTTGTTTACCCTACATCTGGACTCAGCATCATCCCAGCTGTTCCCTTCTCTCCACAGCACACGAAAGATGCCTTTACCCCATTTTACTACACCTGTCTTCCTGCTATTCTACTTCTGACAAAGGCCCCTCTAGCCTTTCCGCAGTCCGTGTCGCGTGGGACACAGTTCTTCAGGAAACATAGACTCGTTTATTCTCTTAGTGGCTTCTCAATGCATCAATTAAAAAAGAGCCAAAACTCCCCACAAGCATGTTTTACTAGGCCGCTCCTGGCCTACAGGACATCTTCGTGGGGACTGCCGCGAACCCCTTCCTTTGGATGAAAACAGGTCACACCGGGTGTTTGCTTGGTAAGCACAGCACCGGCTGGATTCCAACCCGCTTTTCCCGTGGTCAGAACTATGCCGGGTGCAGACTGAACTCTGTACACGGCACCTTTTGGCTTTCACCACCTTGGCTTCCACCACCTTCCCCATCTGGCTATTGTGCTTCAGCAAAACTGGAAGGGTAATTCAAGAACACACTGAAGGAAGAAACTCTGTCCAAAAGGTTTGGAAAGTTAAAGGCAGAACTTTGAGTGTTAATTGTTTATAAGTTGCCCAGACACTATATTTTTTTTTAAGCAACTTGATTTTTTCAACATTTTTCTTTTCTCTTTCTTTCTCCCCCTTCCCACTCTTCTCTCTTTGCACTGGGGCTGGGGTTGACTCTAGGGCTGACTACATGTGAACCAGAAAGAGCTCTACCACTAAACTATAGCTTCAGGGCCTTAAACAGTTTTGGAGCACTCCGGGACAAAATGGCTACCAAGGCACTAAAGTATCAAGTATAAAACTGGAAAGAACCTGTAATTATTTCAGGACAGACTATATCTTTTAAAATGTGGGTTGATTATTCAAAATTGGAGAATAATTAGGCACAAAAAGTAGGCGGGACAGGATAAACCATAAATCAGATGACAGTGGACTTCGGAAGAACTTTCTACAAAAGTAATTTCCTCATTTTGTTTATAGAGAAGGGGTCACTTAGGAGCTAGACCAGTTGTCCCTTGATGGAGATGAAACAAAGAGCAAAGTTTAGGACGGAAAAGGGGATGCCTGGAGTGAGCACAAGGGAGAGCCTCTCCCCTTTGGACTATTGCAGGAAAAGGAGGAAGAAAAAGAATGGAACGAATGGGAAATGGGCAAGAGAAGCACTGCAGGCAGGCGGGAGAAGGGGGACTGGCCGGTACCAGTCTGCTCTTCAGGTGGCACGAGTTAAAGAAAGACAAGTAAAATGGAACACTTCGGGACGCTGCGACAAGGTGTCCCTACGGCACAAAGCCACCGATTCCCTCGTGATCTGCCTTAGTCAGAATGAAACGGCAAGTCCATGGCCACAGAGATTTACTTAACCGCATTCCTTACCATTGAGAAGAGGAATTCAGGCCACGTGTGTGGCTATGTTTTTATACAGGCTGTTAAGTGGCTTAGATGGCAAGGCGAGTTTCATGCAATATAAATTCTTCTTTTGATGATGTTCAAATACAGCACAGATTATTTTATATGCAATAACTCAGTTATTTTAGAAACCGTGGGCAAAAAGATTTCTAAAAATAAGCAGGAGCATTACGCAAGTTCAAAAACGACACAAGATAAAACCTATGTACGAAGCCTAGGGTTTAGGTTTTTTTCCTGTTCATCTGTGTCCTCTTCTGGTCCAACCCACATCCTTGCTAGAGGCTCCTGCTGACTCCAGAGCACCCGAGAAACTGCTTCCGGCCTACCTTTAGTGTCTGCACTGAAGTACAGTCCTTGTATCTCACGCACTCTGTGGCTGATATGGAAGAACAAAGTACTGTCTTTTCGCTACTTCCACAGTGGAATTTCTGTGGCTGACTTTGTTATTCTTTGTTGTCCGTGGAAACAATTCCCATGTGATAACATCGCTGCCTGGTATTCCACAACATCCAGCATCTTCCAAATCAATTTTAGAGGCCAAACCAGGAGCCAGAGCAGTCAATTCTGTTTGACAGTGCACAGACCACTTGTGAAAATCTATCTCCTGAAGAGAAAGTGTTGTGCTGTTTTCCAGACAGAAAGCTGAGATACTGTTGAAAACCAGTATTCCCCAACATTCAGCCTGAGAAGGAGGCTGAGAGGAAAAGCACAGGGCCCCCAGCGGTATGAGCTGCCATAATGAAACTCACTGTTTTGTACACTAATAAAAAATTGATAAAAGGAGAAAAGCAAACGAAGCAGCTCCACGGAGATTACGCAATACACCAAAGATGGGCACGGGCACAGAGGCGGGTGGGCACGCCACTGTTTGGGGACTCTCTGGTTCCGTGAGCTCTGTTCTTTCAGAAAACCTGTCTCCCCACACGCCTACAGAGCACACTGGCTGAAGGCACAGATTCATGGTTTAGTTTTAAAATACTGCAATATTTCTATTAATGACTTTGAATTTAATTCTACCTTGGCCAGAGAAAATACTTTACATGCCTCGAATCCTTTCACAGTTTGTAACACACACTATGGTCCATTTTGGTAAAAGGTTCACAGGCACATGAGAATGTAGCAGTGGGCAGCAGAGAACGCTACAAATCATGCCATGCCAAGTTGGTTAATAGCTTTCTTCAGGGTGGCTTTTAAAGATAAATCAACATGCTATTTTCTATACTATTTATTCCTTCTGTTTTTTTTTTTTTTTTGCTACTTTCCTATCTGTTATTAAGAGAAAGATACTAACTTCTAAACCGTGCAATTCTTCCTCCTTGCAGTTCCATCAGGTTTACTTTGTGTACTAATACATATTGTAGATATACTTTTCTGTCTGTATAATTTGTGTGTGCGATTGTGTACAGTGTATATGTGCACCCATGAGAACACATGCAGAAGCAAGACAAAGACACTGTGTGCTGTGTCCTGCTTCACCGCTCTCCTGGATTTATTCCCTGGATGCAGCATCTCTCACGGAACTTGGAACCAGGTTTGCAGCCAGCAAACTTCAGCAAATGCCTATCTCTACATCCTACAGCACCGGTGAGAGCCACGCCTACCTTTTTTACCAGGGTGCTGGAGACTTGAACTTTGTTTGAACACTTGGGATTATTATGATTTCTTATGGAAAGGACCCCTTTATCATTATGAAATGAATTTTATTTGGCAATATCATTTACAGTGCTGGGGATCAAATCCACAGTCTTGTTCTTTCTAGGTACATGCTCTATTACTGTTGAGCTGTAATTCTAGGCTTCTGATTTTGTGTTTTTAAAATAATATTTTAAAATTTAAGCACACAAAAAAACCAAGATAGCTAAAACAATCCTGAATAATAATAGAACTTCAGGAGGTATCACCATCCCCAATTCTAAGTTGCACAACAGAGCTATAGTAAAAAAGAAAAATAAAACCCCAG